ATTTCAGACAAATGGCTGTCCAGTCTCTTCTTAAAAACTTCCAGTGTTGGAGCATTCACAGCTTCTGGAGGCAGGTTGTTCCACTGGTTAACTGAATTCCACACAAGTGTTGGGGTTTCCCTTGCCCTGGAGATTAAGGGGAGGAGGAGACCCCACAGAGAACACCCACCAACATGTCTCCTAATAGGCAATAGGAACCCTAATCAGGCATTCTTAAAATGGTGAAGAATAAAGGGACAGTGTCCAGCACTTTCAATTCTTGTTTTTCACATGGACTGCTTTTTCTGAATTCTATATCCCTAATATTAGCCATTACAGGTAGTCCTTGACTTTCAACAATTCATTTAGTGACCCTTTTCTCAGTTAAAACAGCACTGAAAAAAGTGACACATGGCCATTTTCCAGTTACCAACGTTGAAGCATCCCCATGATTGTGTGATCAAAATTCAGCCGCTTGGCAACCGACTCATATTTATGATGGGTGCGTTGTCCTGGGGTCACGTAATCATGCATTCAGGATCATGAGTGCAGCCAGAATCCTACAAGCACAGAATTGGAAAGATATCGAGAGCATCCTGTTATATTACATTACTGTCTGGTTTGGAAGCATCACTGCTCCAGCCAGGAAGGCGGTGCAGAGAGTGGTGAGGATGGCAGAAAAAGATTATTGGCAGTTCCCTCCCTTCTATCCAGGACATGATGGCATAAACGCGTTGCTTGAGCAGGGCCCGCAAGATTATCTGGGACACAACACATCCTCTTCATGACCTGTTTTCCCTGTTACCTTCTGGGAGGAGGCTCCGTGGTATCAACCGTGTGAACTTTCAAGCTTCCTCTTTCCGCTATGTATTCAAGATGGACAGTGACTAATATTTATATGTAAGGGTTTAGGTATATATGTATGTATGTATATAGCATCTTTATATGTTTGTTATGTATGTGTATACTTTTGAGAGCAGGAAGCAGAATTTCATTTTTTATGTATACCAGTGTGCCCACAGTAAAAATAATGACAATAAAGGTTATCTTATCTTGTCTATATATCAATCTCCACAACAGAAGAATGGATGGAGAAAATGATGAAGCTAGAAAAAAATGACAAAATTGCTTTAATTAGAGAAAAATATATATATTAGTTTCTTCTTGGAAACTGCTTCTGAACTTTGTGCTTGATTGTGCTTATTAGACTTTGTTTTTATAGACAGGCTAATACTGTAATTACTAAACATGTAAAAGTAAAAAAATGAGATTGTAGTTTTATTTTGTATTTTACTGCGTTGAAAAAAGTTGGAAGACAATGCTTTTTTTCTTTCTCCTTTCTCCTACACTCCTTTCCCAATTCTTATCCTTCTCCATTTCCCTATTTTCTTTATTTTCATTTGTACTTTTCACTATTATAATTTCAATAACATTTAGAAAAAAGGAAAAAAAGGAAAGAGTCAAAAACAGGATTCTGTGGTGAGGCTAAAGCAGTCTACTCCACTTCATCATTGGTACACCAGGATACAAAAAAGATGCTGAGGCCCCAGAAAGAATGCAGAGAGGAGCAACAGAGATGATAAGGGCTCTGGAAGCCAAACCGTACAATGAATGGCTAAGGGAACTCAGTATGCTTAGCTTAACAAAGAGAGGGTTTAGGGGAGACAGGACAGCCATCTTCCAATACTTGAAAGACTGTCATAGGGGAAAGGGCATCGATTTACTCTCTGAGGGCAGGACAAGAAGCAAGGGGTGGAAGCTCATCAGAATGAAATCCAACCTAGAAATAAGGAAGAATTTCCTGACAGTGAGAACAATTAATCAGTGGAACAGCCTGCCTCCCCAAGTTGTGGCTGCTCCATCACTGGAGGCTTCCAATAATAGATTGGCCAATGGTATAAGGACTCCTACCTTGGCCAGAGGATTGGACTAGAAGACCTCCAAGGTCCCTTCCAGCCCTGTGATTCTATGATCTCAACTTCCTGCCTGACCTGTAAGAGTTTGCTGGCTGGCTGCTGATGCTTCTCCTCTATCTCCTGGATGAGATCGTCAAGAGAGCACAGATCCTCCGTGTGCTTGGCCAAACCTTTCTTCTTTATTGCCATAATCTCCTTCTCCGTCTCTTCCATTCTAGCCAACAGAAGCTTCTCCTGTCCTTCTAACCAGAGTTGTAGTTCTCTGAATTCAGCCACTACATTTTTTCTCTCTTTTTCGATGTGGTCCTAGAACAAGAAGACAGAAAAAGCAAAAGGAATTTCCCAGGGAGAAAAAAAAACATTTTGACATCAACAAGCACAGGGGGAAAGGTTTCTAAAAACAAAACAAAAAAGGCTCAAGTTAAATGATCTCTCATGAAAATTTTCTTGGCAATCAGGAATTCCAAAAAAGTAGACAGAAAAATGTTTGATTTCACATGTTTCAATAAGATGAAATATGGCCTCCCTTAATTTATATGCAAACCAAACCCACTTTATAAAACATGGCTCATGTGATAGGTGCCCTTAACCCAACTGTGACTCATTCAGCCAATGGTGACATCCCAGTCAAAGATACAATCTGTTCCGGAACTTGAATTAAGATGCTTTCTAACTCAAGATCAGGCAGTTAACTCAACAAAATGGTTTTAAACAAATATTTAATCCGGGAGTCCTTAACAGAAAATTACATTCCTGAAGATGCATCCAGAAGCTGAACATTTGCCCATTTACATCGGTAGAAACAATAATCCCTCCATATCAACTTCTAGTGTGAATTAAGACAGGGTCTGTCCTTCTGCATTCCCATGCTCATCTCAGACAAAGACATTCCAAACTGGCACGTAGCCAGGATATCCTGTGATGAACTTAGTAGCCCCTCCCACTGACTTAACATAGGATTCACTGAACAGCTAAAACTACATTACCCATAAGCTATCTCTTAAGGGGACAGCGCTTAACCCTATAAATGCCAAACATTCTAACATACAGTTCATTCAATAATACATCATTAACCTTATAAATGCTAACACAATAACACAA